GGAGGGAGGGAGGGAGGGAGGAAGGGGGGGCAAGGAGGGAGGGAAAGAGAGTGGAAAAGAAAGAGGAAAATAAAGAAGGAAGGGAGGGAGGGAAGGAAAAAAAGGCACAAGACAAGCCATATAATTGAGTAGCAGATGGTTCTGAGAAGAATGGTTATGGTGGTGAGCCCACAGAGCCTTGCAGAGCGCACTTCCCGCCATGTGCAGAGCAGCCCCGTGGCCAGAGGCAGGGATCTGTTAGCTACTGCCCACACAGAACAAAGTTTGAGGTGTTTCTCAGAAAATGCCAAGGCTTAAGTGCCAGCTTCACCAGGAGAATGGAGTTAAAATAAAAGCCACAGGGAAAAGACGATGGTCCTGTTGCCACCCTGAGGGGGGTGTAGGCTTCTCTTGACTTGGGAAGATCCCCAAGACAGACACCCACCACCACGTATGCCCGTGTCTTGCCTAGACACAGCTCCAGAGGCAGGTATAGCATGAAGCTGGATGGTGAAAGAGGGAAGGCTGAGCTGGAGAGCAGAATGGGGCCTTGGGGATCTTCAGGGCCCCAGCCAGCTGGATTACAGCCAGCCAACCCTCTGCCAACTTTCACTGTTTCCTGTGCTGACCCACAAGGGCCACCCTCAGTCCCTGGCTTATTTATAACTCAGCACAGATGGCCTGACGATACCTGGGACTATTTCTGGAGCATCGGACAGAGGACTTGGAGCAGTCCTGCTCTGGGGCGCTGGACCTGCTGATGGGGGCCAGCGGGGAGCTCACAGTTCTTCCTTGCCTGATGAGAGCATGTTAGAACTTGATACAAGTGGTTGCATAGTATGACCAATGGTAGAGGATTGTAAACCTCCAAGGGGTTGATTTAATATGAATTTCATCTTGGCAGAAAAGTCCAAAGGTACTGGGCAGTGGTGGTACACACCTTTAATCCTAGCACTCAGGAGGCAGAGGCAGTCGGATCGCTGTGAGTTGTAGGCCAGCCTGGTCCGCAGAGTGAGTTCCAGGACAACCAAGGCTGTTAGACAGAGAAACCCTGTCTCGAAAAAACAAAAACAAAAAGCCAAACCAACAAAAAAAAGTGCTTTCCCACTCATGTTGTGGGGAGATCAGCCCGCCCGGGGAGACAAGAAGGAAGTGCTAGCATGCTCCCCTTGACAGAGAGGGCAGGGCACCAAGGTCCAGAGAGGTCACACGGAGGTCACACAGACCCTATGTGACAAAGTCGGATGGATGCCCAGATCTGTTATGACCACAGACCCTACAAATATCTGGAAACCATATTATTCTTCTGGAACATTCTTCTTGGAGGGAGAGCCAGAAACACCTCCCAGCCCACTCTGAGAGGGTGATAGCTTCTGTAAACCAAGAAATAAACATCCCAGGAAAGTGCGACCAGGGGCATGACCCTGAGACCTTCCCACGGAGTGGACTTGGTCACCTAACTCAGAAGAGCTGGAGAGTTTACTTTTTATTTGTGGTGAATGTGCCAGGCTTGGTGACACTTCCCCAGTGGCATTTCCTGTAATTTGTCTAGCTTTAAACATTAACCTCTACCCGGGAGAATCAACAGCTTAACCATTAACCCCAGGCCCCCAGCAGAGTCCCCTGACTGCTCCCAAGAGCATGAGCCAAGACAGAACCTTGGGAGAGCCCCACAGGGTCACAGGGCAGGATGAGGAGCACACCTCAGCCCCTCCCGGGTCCTGAATCAGTCTCAGAGCCCATGACACCTGCCTGATTCTAAGAACATTCCTCAACGTGTGTGTGTGTGTGTGTGTGTGTGTGTGTGTGTGTGTGTGTATGTTCCTGTGGATTTGTGTATGTGTTCCTGTGTATACATGTGGAGTGTTTGCATGTTCCTGTGTATTTGTGTGTGTGCATGTGTGTATGATCCTGTGTACTCATGTGTGCATGCATATGCTCCCATGTATTCATGTGTGTGTGTGCATGTGTGTGCGTATGTGTATTTGTGTGTGTGAAAGTGTGTTTCTGTGTATTTGTGTGTGCGTATTTGTATTATTGTGTATTTGTATGTGTGTATTCATGTGAATGTGTGTGTGTTCCTGTGTATTCATGTGGGGTATCTGTTCCAGTGTATCACATGTGTGTGTTCCTGTGTATTCATGTATATGTGTTCCTATGTATACATGTGTATGTGTCCCTGTGTATTTGTGTGTGTGCATATGTGTGTGTGTGTTCCTGTGTATTCATGTGTATGTGGGTACATGTGGAAGTCAGAAGACAACCTCAGGATACCATCATCTTGTTTGCTGAGTCAGTGTCTCTCATTGGTCTGGAACTCACCCTCATGGCCAGTCTGGCTGTCCAGAGAGACCCAAGAACCTGTTGGTGCATGTCCCTCCAGTCCGACACTGGGATTGCAAGTACATGCCACATGCCTGGCTTTTTAAAATTGGGTCCTTGGGATCTGACTTAGGCCCTCATGTCTCCAAGGCAAACACTTAACTGACTTAACCATCTCCCCAGCCCCAGGTTCTTTTCTTAGCGATACCCTCTTAGATGACAGACAGCAAAGAAGAGGATGGGAATAAAACTAATACTCAAATACAAAACTTATACTAGTGTTGGTTGACAATAATGCTAAGTATGTATTTATTGACAGGTTGACTGGCCATGGTGCTATGGAATGAACGGAGGGGTTTGCCCTGTGCCCACTTTACCACACTTATCATTATAACTCTGAAGCTGACATGGTTATCTCCATTCTGGAGAGCAGGGAACGGAGCCTCAGAAGGTTCCAGTCACACAACCAGTGAGTGCCAGTCAGCGCTCCCTAAACAAGGATGCGGGGGTGATTAGTGGTACCCTCTTTGGAAGCTGGGTGTAGAGGGTGCTATACACAGCCATCTTTGCTAAGATGCTCCCTGGCAGGGCTGGAGAGATGACTCAGTGGTTAAGAGCACTTATTGTTCCAGCAGAGGATCCTAGTCAAGTGTCAACACCCAGAGTGGCTCACAGCTATCTGTAGCTTCAGCTCCAGGGGGTCTGATGTTGTCTTCCACCTTCCTCAGGCCCCAGAAATGCACGGGTACACAAACCTGTGAGCAAAATCTCATACATATAAAATAAAATAAATATTTCAAAATTTAAAAAAAATGTTTAAAGTTGCTTCCAAGCCCATGTAGGGCTTTCAGAGAGGAGCCGTCAGGAGACATCCGGCAACCAAGGACACGTGTCTCTGTGTTGAGTGAAATCTCAGCACAGTGCTCCCAGCATTCTCTTCTGAGCTTCTGGCTCTGCACCATCAGCAACAGATGTGTTCTCTTCCCCTTACTTTGGCCATCTGACACCATCCTGCCCCTTCCACCCTGCTCCTCAGCGTCTCAAGGGTATGGATGAGAGAACCATGACCCCATGAAACACTTCCCCCCAAACCTCCGCTTTGCGTCAGCGAGGTGAGCAGTAAAAGTGCTTGTTATTGCAAACATGAGGATTTGAGTTCAGAGTCCTAGACCCTACATAAAGCCAGGTGTAAAATCACATATACGCAATCCCAGCATTCCTGTGGGAGGAAGAAACAGAAAAGACCATGGAAGCTCTCCAGCCAGCTAGCCTGGCATGGGCAGCAGAATTGAGGTCTTGTCTCAAACAAGTATCAGTTTTCCTCTGACTTCTACACCTATGTTCTAGCATGTGCCTCCCCCTACCCCCCCCCCACAGAGGCATACATTTATCATACACACACTCCATACATATGCACACACTCAAAGATTTATAAACTAGCATTAAAAAAAAAAACCCTCACCTTGATAAACTGTGTGTGCAGAAGCAGATGGTGAGAAAGTATTGGCTGACCAGACAAAGGAAGTAGGAAGCTTCCAAGTCCACTGAGACCATGTACCGGATCTGACAGCTGATGGAGTGGACAAACCTAGACCTACCCTGGATAGCCCACTTGGCCCTGAGGACAAGCCACTCCCCCCAGATGCCAGGATAGGACCCAGCTGCCGAGTGCCCCTGGGCTGAGGGAGCCTCCTACCTGACACAGTCTCCGGGCCCAAATCTCCTGTCTTCTCTCTGGAGAGTTCCTGCGCACACTGGGCCCGTTCCTCTTGCAGGACGCGCAGTACATCACACAATCGGGGCAGAGCTCCGGCCTGCAAGGGGAAACCCAAAGAGTGCCCGGTTGATGGTGCTGTTGATGGACCCTGCTTTCCTCAAGCAAGAGCAGGCAGACAAGAGACGTGAGGGTGGGAGCTTCAACCCCCACATCCGTCTCCAATATCAGCTCCAGCACTGCAGTGGGAACGAGCTCATTATCACTAGGAAACTTCCCCCCACCCCGCCTCCTCACGACCATTACTCTGTCAAGAAGGGAACCCTTGCTACTTCTACGATGGTGTTAAAGTCATCTCTATGGATGCCAGCCCTCCACCGTGGGGCCCCATTCCCCTCTTTACAGGTACACCTACAATGACCAGGAGGCCTCCCACCCGATCCCCACTTAAAATCTCCACCGTCTCCCAACAGCACCAAGCTTAGGTAGTTCTTCAACACATGGGATTTGGGGAACATTCCAGATTCAATTTTTAGAAAAAAAAATAAATTTTTAAGTGTGATTCTAGCAAACATGCACAAACTTGTGAGATAAGAAGTGTATGTGTATGGGGATGGACGCGAGTACAAGTGCCCGCGGGCCGAAAGAGGGCACCAGACCTGGAGCTGGAGGTGCAGGCGCTTAGGAAGTCCCTGGCTCTTTCTGAGAACCGAACTGTGCAGGAGAGTAGTACTCCCTTAGCCCCAGCTCTCCAACTCTTAAGCCAACACTACTTCTTGGGTTATTGGGATATCCCAAACTTCCTATTAAGGAAGCTAAAGATTTAGATGTTTTAAATTCTCCCTAGAAATATTTCTCACCCCCGGATTCCGTACACTCCGTTCACATCACTTTCAGTGAAAGCAGTGCTCTATGTTTATAACGGCCTCTTATGACAATGAAATATTGTTAGCTGTTGAAGCGAGTTGCTAGGAGGATTATGTGTCCTTGGGCATTTTGTCCCGTCCCCACCCCCCCACCCAGGTCAATAATTGCTGGGTGTTTCTGTTCGATCAGTTTCTGTGTACCTGTGCTTACTTTCCCTTTCTCTCCCTCTGTTTTCCCAGAATCCCTGCTGGCTGAATGACGGCCATCTAACCAACCCTCCAGCCTTTCATCTTTCTGAACTTTTTCTACCATTTCCTCTTTGCAGTCGCTCTGTGAAAGAGTTCCTTGGTATTATCTGTGGAAGCTCTGTTTTTGTTGTGTTCTCTTGTGAGAATATATATATATACCAGGCTAGCCTTACACTCTCTATGGAGCCAAGAGTGACCTTGAACTTCTGATCCTCCTGTCTCCATCCCACTCTACCCCCACGCCCAGTGCAAACAGCCTCTGGGGCTTAAACCCAGGATTCTGTGCACACTAGGCAAACACTGCACCAATCGAGCCACATGCTTGGTTCTTTATTTTTTAATCTTATGTATTTTAATCCAGTTTTAGTATCATCAGGGTAACCCTGTACTAATGTCCTTTTTAAAAAGACTTGTACATTTTTATTTATATGTACGCACCTTCATGAAATTATAGGCACTGTGTGCATGCAGTGCCCATAGAGACCAGAAGAGAGGCTCTGATCCCCTGAAAGTGGAGTTAACAGGCAATTGTAAGCCCCTATGTGGGTGCTGGAAATTGAACCTGTGTCCTCTGCAAGAGCAGTAAACATTCTTAACCACTGAGGCATCTTTCCAGCTCTAGTGATTTCCTTTTTAAAGAACCTGTAGTTGACTTGTTATCTGTGCGAGTCTTCACACATCCAGCTGTGACATTTGTGGAAAATGTCATCCTCTGTCTTAACACTTAGGTTGGGCATGCTATTACACGCAAGTTCACGCCTGCTGCTGAGCAGTCCTTTGGGCATGCTATTACACACAAACTCACACTTGCTGCTAAGTGGTCCTTTGACATCCACCACCTCTGTCTTAGGGATTTTTTTTTCCCAAATGGAAGACATGTTTTACAAACTCTTCTTGACCTGAGAGCCAAAAACTGTCCCCCGCGAGCAGCTCTGCAGCTCTGTGTTTGTTGCTGTGTTCCCCCATCTCACTGATGGACCCAAAGGAGAAAAAACTAAAATAAACACAAAACAAACACAAAACCCCACGCAGTTTCGGACAATCTGTCTGCTCTTGGATCCGTGGCCCTGCAATGGCGTGACCTGTCAGTCTACCCGGTTCACTTGAGCTGATGGACTCGAAGCTCTGGGCAGCCATAGTCTGTCCTCGAGAAAGCAATGGAAGAATCCAGTCCAGCTTGGAGGTTGGAGTGTGGAGAGAGTGAAGCGAACATCAGCAGAAGGAAAGAAAGATGCAGAGTTATGTTAGCCGCTGTAGTTTAATTAGTTTAAAAATTAGTTTAATGTAAGATGGCAGAATTTAAAACTTTTCTAAATTCTTGGAGGCATATAAGAGGGCTTGGTTGGTGAAACACCGTGCAAGCTTGAGGGCATGGGTTTGGACCCCAGTACCCATGTAAAAAGCCAGGCATGGCGGTTTGCTGCCGTAATCCCAAGGTTGATGAGGTGGAGATGAAAGGATTGTCTTGCTTGCCAGCCAACCTAGCCAAATCTGCAAGCCCCCACTGTCTTAAAAAATAAGTGAGGGGCTGTGAAGATAACTCAGGGGACAAAGTGCTTGTGCTGCAACAATAGGGAACAACTGTGGGCTCACCACACCCCAGAACCCTTGTGAATGCCTGGTAGGCGTGGTGGCCTGTCAGGAATCCCAGCACCCAGAAAGTGGTGGTAAAGGATCCCAAGGCAAGCCATCTAGGTGATAATGGTCAGGCTCTGGGTTCAGTGAGAGACCGCCTTAGATAGTAACATGGCAGGGCTGCAGAGGTGGCTCAGCATTTAGGAGCACTTGTCCCTCCTGCAGACCTGTTCAGTTACTAGTACCCATGTTGGGTGGCTAGCAATCACCATTAACTCCAGCTCCAGGGGACCCAACACCCTCTTCTGGTCTCCTCAGGAAGCTGTACTCATGTGATCAGGCTCCCATGTAGAAATGCATGCATACACATAAGCAAAAATAAAATAAAACAAATTTTTAAAAAGAAAAAATTGTGGAGAGTGATTAAGAAAACACCCAACATCAACCTCGGGCCTCCCTTCACACACATATACACAGTGTGCACTCACACACATACGAGCACGCAGAAACACATGCGTTCTCATATACAGTTTGTAGTCACACATATATGAGCACAGAGAAACACACGTGTTCATACTACATGCACATGCAAAGAAAAGAAAAGAAAAGGTGGAGAGCTACTGAAAAGGGCACTTAGTGTAGACTTCTGGCTTCTACATGCACCATACTTGTACACACACACACATGCACTCACACACACATCTAAATGCAAAAAACAGTGAAAAGACTCAGCATCGTCCTGCTCTTCACATCCCATAATGCCATTACTTAAGTGTGCAAATGAATACTTTTGGTAGCAGAGCAATAATTGAGTGTATACAGTGAAAAACAAGAAGGAAATCCACTATCATTTGATGTGGGATTCCCCTCTGTATGCTATGTTTTACTGCCATTGATTAATAAAGAAGCTGCTTTTGGCCAATGGTTTAACAGAATATAGCCAGGCTGGAACAGATATAGAGAGAGAGTAGGCGGAGTCAATGAGAAGCCATATAGTTACTGCAGGAGACAAATGCCAGACACTGGACGGAACCTTACCAGTAGGCCATAACCACGTGACAAAACACAAATTAATAGAAATGGGTTAATTTAAGATATAAGAGCTAGCCAATAGAAGCGTGAGCTAATAGGCCACGCAATGTTGTAATAATACATTTTCTGTGTGATTTTTTTTTTGGGTCTGGGTGACTGGGAAATGAACAAGCGGCCTACGCCTAGAGTCATTAGATGAGTTCAGAACATGGAACAACACCATCAAACATTGGTTGGCATGTCTATATACACAACAATCTGCTTACCTCTGAGGACAAAGGGGAAGGAGTTATGACTTCCATTCTTGGGGTTCTTGGTCTTCAGTGGGTACAGAAAGGTCAGTGGCCAGAGTATGTAGTGGTATGAGCTTTGAGGGAGAGGTGCTGGATGGAGGATTGGAGTGGGCATGGGGACAGCAAGAAAGGACAACACTTAACCTGAGTGCTGAGGTGAGAGTAGTGTGTCCAGATGAAGAGGTGCTGAGAGTGCAGGGCCTCCAGGTGGGGACCAAAGCTTGAGTGGGATGCTCTATGTACATTGAGGTGAGGTGGATGGACAGATTGACGGACAGACAGAGGGATGGATGGATGGATGGCTGCTGCCAAAGGTCATTTGTCAACATCAACAATGCAAGGGGACAATGACGACTGGGACCTGTGATATGAAGGATCCTACGAGGCTGAGAAGATGCAGCATAAAGGAGCACCCAGAGGCAGAAGGGAGGCAGGAGGACGGGAGCAGCAGAAGCTACGGGGCCAGGGTCAGGATGGAGCCCAAGCAGCACCACATGCCTGCAGGAAGCTGTGCTCCTGTGCCCTCTACCCAGGTCAGCAGGGTGTGAGCCTCCTGACTCCATGTCTCCATGGCTGTGTCCTTTCTCTTTCTCAGATGGTATGCTGCCAGGACTGGAATGTGTCACCAAGGTTCTCATGTTCCCAATGTAATCATGTTAAAAAGGGGAACTCTGGACAGATGACATTATCAGGGCAGCACTCATAAATGGATGAATGCTATTATCAAGATATATATTAATACAATTGTTATATAATAATATCAACATATAATATAATTATTATATTATACAATGTAAGATTATATTTAAATTACATATAAATTAAATATATAATAGAACAAAATAATATATTAATATAATATAAGTAACCCACGAGATATATTTTATATATATCTGTGGCTTAGTTATCCTTGGAGTAGATTGCAAATAAATGGATACTTGATCTATATCTCTCACACACACGCACGCGCACACACACACACACACACACACACACACAGAATCTCTCGTCCTTCTATCTTCTATGATGACATGATGTAGTTTGAAGGCCCTAGTTAGAAACAACTCCTCAGTACTGGATTTCCC